AACCCCTACTTTTATAGTGTTAAGAAGTTGAAAGTTCTCATTTATCCTTCATGTCTGTTAATTTCCAGCAGGTCTTTTCCTCTTATTTTTCTTCATCTCTCTTCTGTGTGCTGCCTCAATTATACTGGTATCAATCTGAACATATACCAAGTTCCTTGCTTCCTTACTGTGAGCTCAGTAACTTTACTTTAGTAAAGTTTTTTTTTTTTTTTGAATATGTGAATGGAAGACAGCACAAACATCAGAGAGTACACATCTTCTAGCTTTTTGATGGTTCCTCTTTAATTTCTCTCTTCCCCACCTCTACAGAGAAACCTGAAGAACCAACCATATTCTTAGGAAACATGGTTCTTCCCATACATAGGCAACTCCAAGTCTCGGTTTTATTCTATAAGCCAACTTGTCAGAGAATCTTTTTCTGAATTAATACTCATGTTAATTTTGGTGAATGCAGGTTTTTTTTTTTTCCATCTCAACATAAATCATTGGTATAACTCAACAGAAGGCTATCTCTGTTGAGTCAGCCTTTCTTAACCCTTTTACACACTATAAGTCACTAGGTGCCAGATGGCATAGTTCAAAACAGGAGAATGACCCTTTCCTTTTCATATGAAAATCTTGGCCCTTCTTGCTTAGTCCATGCCTTGCTTTGCACATTTGGATTCCCTGTTATGCTACCTTCCTAATATGCACTAGTGATTACAGACCTCATCATTTAAATTTATAATTTAAACATAAATTTGCTATAAATTTGTTTGAATTATCTTGTTTCAAATATGTAACAATATAAAAATGTGATGCTTCATTGAAATAGGAGTTTATAAATTGATCTAGATGTTCAATAGGATTGGACAAAAATGCCCTTAGATTACAGGGAAATGAACTCTAACCAATGTAGCCTAGCTAAGAAATCTGCTAGGAAATCTCAGAAAACAGTAGAAGATGATATTGTCAAACTGTAGGGATGCAACATGCCAACAACAACTTGCAGGAAAATTGTAAATCACAATAGAAATGGGTTAATGATGCAGCAATTATTGCCAAGAAAATAAATTTGAAGTGCTGGGTGACTAGGAAATTCAATTCAAAGATTCAGATTAAAAAGTAAATAGTAAAGAGCAATGTGAAAATGCTAACGAGAAGTGTATCAGGGAGAAACTTAGCATGTCTGCCTCCATATTGCTTCTGTTTCTTTTGCTGCTATGACCTATAGCTTAGAAATTTCTGCTTAGCCCTGCACATAAGCATGTTACAGTTAAGATTTGTAAAAATTGATTTTTACCCCAAATCTACCTCTCCAAGAAGGAAATACATATAGAATTGACTAGGCTATGTTTAAGAAATGGCATGACCAGATTCCTGTATGTAAATATCAACTGACCAAGGACAAAGAAGTTATACAAGCTTCCTGGGATGTCTACAGAGGTCAGTCACCTTTTGACTCCAACCTCCCCTCCTACTTACCCCTTTTGCTAACATAAAAGAAGCCTGAATTTTATACCAGGGGAGATGGTTGTTTGGGACAATAGTCCACCATCTCCTCAGTTTGTTGGCTTTCCAAATAAAGTTGCTTTCCTTACCCCAACATCTTGCCTCTCAACTTACTGGCCTACTGTGCAGTGAACAGGAGCTTGGTCTCCATTACAGAAGTACCAGAAATATGCAGATTAATTCCTTTTATCTTTGCTCAATTACTTATAAACAGCACCATATCTTTATATTTATGCTTTTATTAATAAAAATACTCATCCACTTTTAGTACTCATTATTTATTAGTGAGAATCTCATTTTAGCTTTTTAAAAATTGAGCATTTCACGCTGCAGTATGAAAAACTGTCATGACTACAGCCATTTTGAAATAGAGCCAGAGGGGCCACTGCAGAGAAAGTGCTTTACCTGTCTTTGTTTGAACTGGGCCATAAATTTTGGATTAGGCAAAATGGCAACTCTTCTTAACAATTGCTTGAATACAGACACCCTGATGGTTTGAAATTTCTGAAGATAGAATTAGTAGTCAATCAATGTATAACCTAAAATAACTCATTAACACCCACAGGAAACTTTTTTTCCCCTCTTCAACTCATGTAATTGGCTCTCTTTCTTTTCCTCATAAAAACCCTTGCTTTTACCCTACAAGCTGGACACTATTTGAGTTTCTATGATTCTGTGCTCCCTGAATTGAAATTCTTTAATCCCAAATGAAATACTTAATTGCCTCTCATTGTGGTTCTTATTTTCAAGTTAATGGTAGTTTTTTACCAAAAATTTCACTGCCCTTTAAAAATTGTACTTGTAATAGATAATACATTAATTGTCAGTCTTGGATTTTTTTTTTTTTTTTAGTCTTGGAATTTTTTTATGCTGCTTCAATAGACATAGAAAAACGGTAATGGATTGTTTTAACATTATGTCTTCAGGGCCTTATCTAGTTGATCCATTCTTTTTTCTCTCGTACTTCATTTGTACTGGATATTCATATTCAATTTTCTTCATTTATAGAATGAATCTATACAAACTAATTGCTAATGTGAGGGAAAGCAGTATAGGCTCTGGAGTCCTATGTATCCCCAGCTCTGCCACTAATTGGGAGACAGTGAACAAGAAACAAGATTGGAAGTTACTTGGATGTATATGAAGTGTTTAGGTCCCAGAGAAACTGAGAACAATACCAACCAAAAAAGTAGTTATAGATATCTTCATCAGAATAGAATATGGACATTCATAGGCTAACTAGAGAAAGAGAAAAACTTTAAAAGATTCAGTTGCTATAGAAAAAGAGGTAAACTAAACATGTGGTAACAAAATGAAAATGCTCTTTAGAAAGATGAGTAGGAAAGACTAAAGAGTATAAAGAGTGCTTTTTGGCTTAGCAACAAAGTAGTCTTCGGTGATCTTGGCAAAGGCAATTTAAGTGTAATGAGGGTGGGGGTGGGGCCAAGATGGAGTGGTGGAAGCCAGAGGTGAGGAAAGAGAAACATTTTTTGCTGAGCATTTGTTCACTCAACAAATATTTAGCCCCTACAATGTGCCAGACACTGTGAAGGCTCCAAGCATATAATAGTAAACAGTTCTCCCTGCCCTTAATAAGCTTAGGCTGTGTTAGAATATGTTTAAACGCCAATGGGGAAGAATAAGGAGAAGTAGAAAATATGTTGAGAGAAGATATAACTAATGATAGGAGGTGAAATGAAAGTGGCCAGAATCTGGAGCCAAGGTGGAGGACTTCACCTAGGGACAAGGTACAGTATTTCTTTGTTGGGTGAGGCTAGGGTAAGAACAAGGGGATCTAAGCCTTACTTAGCATTGTTTTCTACAAATGTACAGTTCAGCTCCTGAGCTCAGCCTCTTGTCACCGCTGGTTTATGCATGGTATGTGAATACAGGGGTGTGAGGGAAAAGAGAAGGTGGGCTAACAGAATGCTTCCTGCTAAAAAAAAGTTATTTTAAACATAGTTATTTCCACCTGCAAATAAGTATCTACAGCGGATATTTTAGTCCAAATTAGCCTTGGAAATATTTAGGTAATTATTTATTACATCCTGTCTTTGCATTCAGGTGGGTTTCACTTTCATCAAATGATCGGAAATATAAATCAGAAATTAGCAAAAGATTCACATTTAATAATACGTCTTAATTACATCCCCAAGCTATAGGCCTATAGACCAATTAAGAAGTTAATCCAACCTATCTAAAAACGGCATTACTCATTGATGAAATTATTTCTTTGTAAAATCTGCATTTGGGTGATTGCTTCTGAGGTAGAAAACCGGGGGTTATAGGAAGTGCCCTGCCCACAGAAGCTTCTAATCTTAAATCCCGCCCGGGGTTTGGAAAAGACTTTTTATTGGTTACAGGAGTTATGAATCGCCCAGCGAACCGCCCCTGCTTCCCCCTCCCGCGCCTTCACCCTGGACCGCGGGAGACTGAGCGGAGGCGGGGCTGAGGGGATCAGCGAAAATTCTGGTGGATACTGTACCACGGCCTCATCCTCCCCCTGGCCCGCACCATCTACTTATAATGCGAAACTTCCAGGATACCTTAGGCCTACGAACCATCATGCATGCAGTTCGTCCTCCGCGGGCCTGGGAGCAGTAAGTTTAGCCCTAGAGACCGTGTACGCATGCGTGAGAACTGGGCCGCCGCGTGCGTGTGACGTCACGCGCGCGCCCTTCTAAACTTCCTTGTTTTTCTCTAGAGTGTGGGTGAGTGAATTTATAAGTCGGTGTGGGGTTCGTTGCGTGGGTGTGAAGTGGTTTGACTTGTGAACGGGTATGATAAAGAGACTAATTTAGTTTAGGTCAAAATTTGGTGTGGTTATTGCAGAAAGACTCTTCGTATTTGTCTTTAGCGTGAGCCTGCTGTGTTCAGTATCTTGCTTGGCGTTTTGTGAGCCTCTGACTGGAGTTAGTTCAGGTCCCCGCCCTCACGGAGCTCAACTGGCTTGGGGAAGGTTGATGCTCACACATTAAAATTAAGTTTTGACACTAGTGCGTGTCCCACTCAAGACGTTTGAGAAATAAGATTGAGACTACAAAGCACAAGTTAGTATCAGTTCAGTAGTCCTCGAGATTGTATAGGGGCTGGAGGAAGGAGGCAACAGATATATTTTAGAGGAGTAACCTTTTGGTGCCCAATTTGAGTACACACTATTACAACTGCTGAGGGATTAAAAAAGAAGACCAAAATTTTCAATCCCCCTTCCCCAGTAGCTTGTACATTTTAAAGCACAGTTTTGATAAAGGACATTGTCAGTGTAGTTTTCACAGATCCTAAAACCGGCTTTTAGAGGTACTCCTTTAGAAAACTAAATAGAAAAGGCTTGAGTTTCAATGTCTTAGGGGAATGCATGTATTGATCCTTATAATAAAATTACAGAATAATCCACTCTACCCCCAAGAGTGATTACTAACCAACTTAAAGTAAAGAAAAAGCAAAAGTGAGTCAAAGAAGCTTAAAATTACGGACTACACTTTGGGTAAAACACTGGTCTTTGTTTTCAGCAGTAAGCTGTCAACTGCTCTAGTTGAATTTGCTTTGGACAACATTTTGAAGCAGATCTGATATGCCACTTGAATTAATAAAAGAAGTCAATGGAGTGCCTGAAGTTGAGCTGCTAAGTGAATTAAACAAAGTAGATTTCAGTTCTCTACAGCCAGGTTGTGATTATAGCAAGAAATACATCCAGGTAAGAATTTTCATAACTCAGAATGCTTTTTTCTTCTAAAAGGAATGCTCATTTTTATGTTGAGCTTATTTGTAAGGGTTGTTTTAGGAATAGTTTTACGTGTGTCATAATATTTGTGACTATTTGAGGCTATTATTCTTAATTATTTAGCGTTCATTTAGCAAACATTTATTGAATTCTTTTGTGATACACCGGAATAAGTTTTGAGGGTACAAAGATGAGTGAATATGATCCTTGAACTAAAGGGGACTGAATTCTTTTGGGTTTGGACAGTTTACCTAATCTCTAATTATAATTAATAAGTTGGTATTAGAATTGTGGGATGTGAACATTTAGGAGAGAACCTTTGGTTCTGACAAGTTAGGTCAGGAAAGTGGAGCTGGAACTTAAAGGATGACTGAGATTATACCTTTCATTTTGGGTATAAGCAGTCCTCATGTGCATGTTGAAGAATTTGGATGTTACCCTAAGAACTGTGGGAGGCCCTTAATAGATTTTAAGCAGGACAAAGACATGATTCACTTTGAGTTCAAATTACTCTGCCTCTTGGGTGAAGAATATATCAGAAAGGGCAAGATTAGAGGAAGGATAATTAATTAGTTAAGACATAGTTGCAGTAATCTAGTTTAGAGGTGATGTTGGTCTGAACCAGGGGCAGAGGAGATGATGGGAAGGAGAGAGACAAAATAGTAATAAAATAATAATAATAACAAGAGTTAACATTGAGCTCTTTCTAGGAACTAGGTAGTATTTTAAGTGCTTTACATATATCAACTCATTTAATCATGACAAAACCCTATGGATTGGGTCCTGTTATTCTTTGGCTGTAAATGAGGAGACTGCATTTCCAAAAGGTTAAGTGATTGGCCTGAGATGCAGTTGATAAGTGTAGAGCTGGTGTTAGAATCTAGACATTCTGCTTGGAACTGACAAGATAAAGAAGCAGAATCAACAGGTCTTGGAGAACGGCTAGATGAGAGAGGTAAAGAGGAGTTCAGGAAATTTCTGTGGTTTTAAGTCCTGTCAACCCTGGGAAGATAGTAGGCATGCATTTAAGAAGAAAGATAATGAGTTCAGTTTTGGGTATCTTTCACAGGTTATTAGAGGTATCCAGGTAGCAATGCCCTATAGGCAGGTAGATTTGGGGTTCTGGAGCTCAAAGCGTTCCTACTCAGGGAGATTTGGGCCAAAGAATAGAATGAGAAGATGTGTTGAAGGATGTCAGTGTTAAGAAGATAGCATGAATAAGAGATAGATAATCCAGAGGCGTAGGAGAAAAACCAGGAGAGAGTGGTGTCTTGTATATTTAGTAAGGTAAGTTTCAAGGAGTAGTATCAGTAACTCTTACATAAATTGCTCTCTGGTACGCATTCTCCTGAGTGCTTTACATATGTTCCCTCTTTTAATTCTTGAAAGAACCTTGTAAATAGATGTTATTATTCCCATTTTATAGTTGGGAAAACAGATAAAGGTTAAGTAATTCATCCAAGGTTAGATCCAAGGTTAGCTAATAAGTGGCTGAGCTGTGATTTGAATTTTCATTGTCTTTGCTATGTTGCTGCTAAATGCTCAGCCTAAGGTCTGAAAAGATTCTATTTGATTTAATAATCAAGAAAATATTGGTCACTTGGGAAGACTAATGTTGCTGGGTCGGCTTTTTAGTGGTTTGAGGATTGAATGTTGGGTGAGAAAGTGAAAGCAGGAAATGTCTTTCAAGGAGTATGTTGTGTGGGGCGCCTGGGTGGCTCAGTGAACTGGTTAAGCGGCTGCCTTTAGCTCAGATCATGATCCCAGAGTCCTGGGATCCAGCCCCACATCGGGCTCCCCCTCCCACCGCTCGGCAGGGAGTCTGCTTCTCCCTCTCCCTCTGCCTGCTGCTCTGCCTACTTGTGCTCTCTCTGTCAAATAAGTACATAAAATCTTTTTAAAAAAAGAAAAGGAGTATGTTGTGTTATTTTGATATTTTGATTATTGAAGTCATAGTCCTGAAATAGGAGTGGAAAGCTTTTTGATTTTAACTGAGTCAGTTTTGCATTTGGTTAACAGTGATTGGCTTTTATACTATCTACAATCAACTTCACAACTGCTGCACTGAAGTGAAGTAAAACAAATTGAATTTTTAAAAAATTTATCTACATTCCCTTTCCTCTTCTATTCTGCCCTCACCCTGTCCCCTTTCCTCTGAGTACACTCATACTCAAACTCATAGGCCATATTCACAAACTTATTCCTAGAGCAGTTTAACATCCTGAAAAGGAGTGGAAGCCCTGGAGACAGGCGGGCTGGATTCAAGCACAGATCGACCATTTACCAGCTATGTAATTGGGAAAGTAATTTTATCTGCCTATGCCTTATCTTTTCCATTTGTAAGCTAGGAATTATAATAGAACCTACTTCATAGAAATGCAATGAGGATTAAATGTAAAGTGCTTACTTAATGAATTCTAAGCATTTGGTAAATGCTGGTTCCTGTGGTCAAGATAATGATATCATTAACATGCCTTTGGACAAAGAATTTACCTAGTCTCATAGTTCTCAGTGAAAATGTACCATAATCTCATTGAGCAGAGACAGAATTATTTTGCCATTAGGGAAGCTCAGGCTTCAAAGACTTTACTTGAACAAGCCCAAGACCATGTTAGGGGTCTTAGAAATGAATTTACATTTTCATATTTGTAAAATTTACACAAGGGGGATGTTCTAACCTAAAATGGTTAAGGTTGCTGTCTCTTTCCATTTTGACTTACCCTTCCATCACATTTCCTGTCTTATCCAGTGGCATTGGAATGGCTGAGAACATTTTTGGAATATGTAGCTAAGGGGAAGTTGACTTGTGGACTAGGTTTAATGAGATGTATTTGTGTGCTTTGCAGTTACTTGCATTTTTAGCCAGGATATGCCAGCTCTCCTGGTGTAGAAATGTTTTCCAGGAACATTCCCACACACTGGTTAGTATAGAAGAAAAGTATGGAGTCAGAAGTTGTACCAGGACAATGGAATATTATGCAGCCATCAAAAGGAATGAAATCTTGTCATTTGCAACGATGTGGATGGAACTGGAGGGTGTTATGCTGAGCGAAATAAGTCAGTCAGAGAAAGACATGTATCATATGACCTCACTGATATGAGGAATTCTTAATCTCAGGAAACAAGCTGAGGGTTGCTGGAGTGGTGGGGGGTGGGAGGGATGGGGTGGCTGGGTGGTAGACATTGGGGAGGGTATGTGCTATGGTGAGCTCTGTGAATTGTGTAAGACTGTTGAATCACAGACCTGTACCTCTGAAACAAATAATACATTATATGTTAAAAAAAAAAAAAAAGCAGAAGGGAAAAACGAAGGGGAAATTGGAGGTGATGAACCATGAGAGACTGTGGACTCTGAGAACTGAGGGTTCTAGAGGGGAGGCAGTCGGAGGATGGGTTAGCCTGGTGATGGGTATTAAAGAGGGCACGTACTGAATGGGAGCACTGGGTGTTATACGCAAACAATGAATCATGGAACATTACATCAAAAACTAATGATGTAATGTATGATGATTAACATAACAAAAAAAAAAAAGTTGTACCAGGGTATGAATATATACTGTCACACCTAGCATGCGGTGTATATAGTTAGTGAATGAAAATAGGTACTGAAACTATGGAATCTGAAGTTACTTCAAGGACAATTGTTAGAAATCTCACAGCTTATATAGGAAAGAAACTTAATAGAAATTTTTTGAAACTTGTCAGCAGTGCTAAAACTTTACACAAGGTTACTAATAATGAGTGGTGAAGTAAATACAATTGTTGTAAACTATCAGTAACAAAATTAATTGTGATTTCTTATTTTAAATATTCCATTTCATATTAAAGAATACATTTTGTTGTGAAGGAATGAAGAAGAAGGGATGCATTTAAAAAGGATGTTTAAGATTAAAGAGTTAATAACATGGGGGACATTTAATAACACAGATCCACCATTTACTAGCTATGTAATTGGGAAAGTAATTTTATCTACCTATGCCTTATCTTTTCCATTTGTAAGCTAGGAATTGTAATAGCTAAATACGTTATTGTTACTGATTTGTAATTTCTGCAAGATTTTTCAGTTTTTTTGAAGTTTATTAAGACTTAATTAGGTCACCATGTGATTTGCCTTCCTGAACATTCCATGCGTAGTTGACAAGAATGTGTTTTCAACACATTCTGGTCTGGTGGTCTATGAATGTTAATGGTATAAACTTGTATGAGTGTGTTTTCAGGTCTGTATTTGTACTGATTTTATTTCTCCTTGTTTTGTCAGTTACTGAGAGAGAGGTGTTAATACCAGGTATGATTGTAGATTTGTCTATTTCTTCCTTTAGTTATGTCAGTATTCCTCTATTTTGAAGCTTTTTTATTAAGTGCATATATATTTAGGATTGTTATTTCTTTTTGATAAATGGTTTTTTTTGTCATTATCAGATGTCTATCTCTGGTAACTCTTTGAGCATCTGTTTTATCTGGTAATATAGTTCTGCCAACATTCTTAGATTAACTGTTTGGATGGTGTATCTTTTATTTTTAATTTATTTGTGTTTTTATATTTTAAGTATCCCTTAGATGGCATGTCATTGGGTCATGCTTTTTAATCCAGTCTGTCAATCTCACCATTTAATTGGAGTGCTTAATTTATACGTAAAGTAATTGTTATAATGGTGTTTAAGTAATACCATCTTGCTATTTGATTTCCATTTGTCCTTTCTGTGATTACCTTTCCTTCTTTCCTGAGTTCTGTGGGTTCATTAAATATTTTTCCCCATTCTGTTCTATTTTCTCTTGGTTTGAACACCTGCCTTATTATTGTCTTTAATGGTTACTCTAGTACTAGCAATATATGTTCTTATTAAAATCTACTTAGAGTTAATATTGTATCACTTTTCATGTGACACTTCTTATTTCTCATGTCCTGCTTCATTCTTCTCACTTGACAAATAGAAGAATTTTACAGCAGTAAAATTCCATTTCCTACTCCCCTG